CTACACTTGCAATGCTGTGAATATGATGGGCAAGGCTTCTGCAACGACAGTTCCGACAGTGCTGGGTAAAATACCAATGTTAAATAATGTGATCTAATGAGTGGTTTGCATAGCCATTTATGGTGACCTCATCTACCAGTGAGAAAGTATTCATGGTGCAAAAGGATCCCAGATCAATGCAAATAAGTTATAGATTCAACACGATTTCAGAATTTAAAACCGTCCTAAAACCTTGCGCTTAAATGCCAGATGCTTCAAAATTGAAACTGTGTAAAATTTGTCATAACCTTCCCATTTTTGACACTTCACTCTTTGCTCCACCGCGATTAGGTGTGCATTTTAACCGCATGAATCTACTCTTTTCCTTTGCTTTACTGTTACAATATAGTTCTACCGTTTTTCGTGACAAAACCTAGAAATCAAACAGTGCTTGAGAAAGGAACAACGGAATTCTACTGCAATGTAAATGGCCATCCGCTTCCTAACATAACATGGGTCAAAGATGGAGTGACAGTTGGTAACGGGAGCACACTGAGGTTTGAAACATCATGGAGACGACTGTCTGGAAGATATTGGTGCCATGCACAAAATGGACTGAGTGTCGCTATCAATGCTAGTGCTTTTTTGAATGTGCAGTGTAAGTATCTTACGTATCCGGGGCTTAAGCCAACCAGCATCTTGCAATGTAATGCAACGGGCCTGTTCGCGCACTTTCAGGGACCCGGTTGCTGAACGGTTAGCATGCTGGGCTCTGAGACAAGAGGTTAAAGTGTGACCTGGCTGGGTTATTTTATCGTGTTGTTGGGAGGAATCTTTACTCTCGTGGTGCTCCTTTCCCCTGGAGCATAAACGAGTACAGGTGAACTGTCAGTGAAATCTTAGGGGAAGGGGGGGGGGGTTTACCTGCGCCTCGGATGGACTTGCATCCAAGGGGGGTAGCAATACTCTGATTCACTTCATGGTATGAAGTTTCATGACTTAGCCTGTTTGGGCAGATACTTAGCAGCTCTACGAGAGAGAGATTTCAAACTTTAAAATGTTGTAATCCTAGCATCTTTTCCTTAACTTTCGCAGTTCTGTCATATTTTCAAAGTCGGCCAGCTAACCAGTCTGTCCAAGAAGGTGATGAGGCTTCTTTCCACTGCGGTGCCATGGGCAACCCAACTCCAAAGATCTCATGGTTCAAAGACGGGAGATCTGTCGGTACAGGAAACACATTGAGCTTTGTTGCGTTCAGAAATCGCTCTGGAGAATACTGGTGTTCAGCTAATAATGGCTTGGGATCGGCCATCAACGCCAGCGCTCGACTAAATGTACAGAGTAAGTATGAATGGGTCGCTTTTGGAACCAATGTTTAGCAAAAACACGATAAAAAAGAAAAGCCGTAGAATCTCGGCAAATTTTTTTTAGAGTTTTAACCAAGCACTACCAGGCACGTCCCTATTCCAGACTTCATCTGTACTTCACGCAATGTGATAAAACTCAGGTTTCATTGATCACCTGTGGCATTTACACCAATCGCATCTTGTAATGCATATTTCTTATTTCTATTTTTTTAAGATGTCCCCTCTCCGCCGATTAATGTCACAATAACAGACTGTAAAGACTCGAGTGTGAAACTCCACTGGGTACAAGGCCCTTCAACTGATGGTGCTCCAATCACGCATTACCTGATTGAGCAGGAATCTGGTGAGGACCCTGTGGTTTTCAGCTTATTGCACAACGTTAGCAAATCGGATGTAACGAGTATGACCTTCAACATAAGCTTGAGGACTTCGTCTCGTTTCCGCATCAAAGCAGTTAACAATGTTGGTGAAAGCCTACCCAGTTCAACAGTCAAAACAACTTGCCAGGGAACCATTGGTATGTATGCCTCGTCAAAGAGAGTACAGACACCCACTCAGTGGAATATTGGTAACAAATGGGTGTAGTTATTTTTCAATATAGATGAAGGTTTCTCACGACACAGAGGCAATAACAATGAATTGATACAACTAGCTTTGCGAAGATGTCTTTCCTCAGCACATTCAGTTTTTCCGTTCTTCCAATCTGGACGAGCCAAGAAACTTTAATCTGTGATAATTGCTTACATTCTCAATCAGTCGTATTCATTGGATTTTCTCAACCTATGAAATGAGATATCATTTTGAGGCTCTTTCTCGATTAAATTTAGAAATTTCCATCAAGTACTCAAGACAATCATGGATTGCATACATTTTGCTCTATTACGCTATGTGATTGGTCCAGAATTTTACCCTCCCAGCCGAGCACGAACAATTAAAACTAGTTAAAACCTGGAAAACACGGCCATTTGACGTAATGCATCGATCAAGTTGAAGCCTAAACACTCCCTCCCCGGGCAACCCACAAGCATTTGACTATCGTCCTTGCCTGGGGGTTGGGAATTTGAACATTGCCTTAGTTACAACAACTGTAAAGTCTTTCCAGCGTGAAAACGTGTTTTATCTGTTAATGTGGAGGTAGATATTTAAAGGTGAAAAGTTCACATCTGAAAGCAGATGGCTCATAAGAAAAGGTCTATAAGAAAACCACCGTCATTTGTTATACCTTTCCAAAAAATTTATAATCAAATCTAGCACTTGGTGGGCATTTGAACACAACTTTGGCCCCGGAAGTGGAGGGGTGGAGGCGAAAACTTGAACGAACCTGATCTAGGTGTTGTTCACCCAACAATCAATCGAAAACTGAACATTATGGCAATCCTGAATGTTTAAATATGGTTTTTTTCCTTCAGGTGAACGCCAGCAAGAGGTAAAAAAAACCCACATTTACCAAAAGGCGTGGTTTCTCATTATGTTGGCCCTTATTGCCTGTGTAGTTCTGATTTCAGCGCTTGCCTTGCTCTTCATAAGCTATTACAAGGGAAAAGGGAAAAAATACGAAGGTAATGAAGCAGGAAACAAGTGCAGTGTTATGTAACGTTACGAAAACCACGCATGTATTGAAAGAAAAGATCTTGTAACGTAACGTATTGTAACGTGACGTTTGATAACGTAACTTATGATAACGTCACGCATGGCTACGTAAATTATTTAGTATTTAGCATCAGAGCTTAACGTAGTTACAGTGGCAATGATCTGATATTACTTAGCTATAGTTTGCAAGGTAGAGTCAGATTCAAGCTGAACTGCCTTATTTTCGTAGCTGAGCCGAGATCAGTGTTCACCTTTCTTGTAAGCACGACAGGTTAAAGAAATTTTTCAATCGGTGGAGCAGTCCTTTTACCAGTTGAATTTACAAAAAATTACAAGCGACTTTAAGCGGTAATGATTGTTACTACAGGCGGTAGATTTTACCAGTTACCACCTGGTAAGGAAAACAGGGCGAGAGATTCATTGCTATCTTTGTGACTTTTTATCTCAAACACCTTCAACACCGTTAAGTTACGGATTTTTTCCTCGTGAATGTGTGTGGGTTGGCAGGCTTAATGGAACTCAGGTCTTACAATGTAGGATTTGACAGCTTACCGAGGGATGCAATGAACGGATCAATGTCAGTAACTGAACAACTGCGCACCACCCCTCCCCTAACCCAAAATTAACCCGCAGTTGCACAGATACAGTCATTGATACCAAATAACTTTGACTGTGACATTGTTTAATACCATTCCTATCTCTCGTAAGTCTTGCTTATTTTTCGTTTCTCTAGTTGGAAAACGCGAACGAGAACGCGGATACACAGACGAAGCAAAACAATTGGAGGAAAACGTTGAAGACGAGGAAACAAACAACTTAGCGGAGAATGCTGAAAAGACACCGCTGTATGTATTAACCCTTTACACCCTAACATCAATATGTATATTCTCCATACTGTTTTCTACACATTTCTTATGGTCTTGTCAAGGAGAATTTACAATCAAGAACCTCTGATTGGGTGGTAATTTCCTTTTCCCTGGTTGTCACGACAAACTTTACCTGATCCCCCAAAAGGTTCTATAGTACTTTCATGATCCCCCTCCAACTGAACTAGCTGGTCAAATTTCCCATAATTATGAGTCATTATTTGTATACAAATCGGACTGACATAGTGTCTTGTTATTTTTTCCTTAGCGAGAGAAGACAGAATCGTAACTCAAGGCCTGTCTCCAGTTCAATCAGCTTACTTGAGTTGCAATTCAGAGAAGACGGCTCCTTTACAGAGGAATACGGAGGGGAAGATGAT